AGATGTGATGGACATGGGTGATGTAATTTATATGCTCGGATGTACGATCCTTAGGGATTGTTTTGAGAAAATTCTCGGTTTGTCTTCGATGACTTACATAAGGAATATCCTAGAATGATTCTAGATGCAAAATTGCAAACCCATTGACTTAACTATTGGTAAAAGCCAGAGCCTTAGCTATTGAGTGTATCCTCGGATTGTCTTTGAGAGAAACAGATGACCTATATTCCTTGATCTTTTCTTTGTTGTGGGACCTAAAGTACGCTTTGTGGGCGTATTCGGCATGATAAGTGTTATCTTTGGTAAATGGTCAACTGAGTTGTTTAGGAAAGAAACTTTGACTCACTGATGTCAATTTTTTGGTGTCAAAACCAACTCAACCAACAGTGGCGGAAGCCCTGCAGTTCCGCCGAGAGCAATGAATTGTTTAGGTTGGAACCGTCGTGGGCTTGGAAACCCACGAATAGTTGGAGGGCTCCAACTTGTTATGAAGTCTAAAGATCCTAAAGTGGTTTTCTTAATGGAAACCAAGTGTACTGTGGCTAGCACAGAAAAGTTATAACGTAAGTTTGGTTTTTCCAGTGGATTTTTTTGTTGATCGGGTTGGTTTGAGTGAGGGTTTAGCCCTTTTTTTGGAAAGGACATACTCAAGGAACAATTAAGACCTATCCATGTGAACATATTGGTACTATTGTCAATTCAGGTGTAGATGATGTCAATTGGAGGTTGACGGGTTTTTATGGAATCCTGATGTTTCTAAACGACCGGATTCATTGGAATTATTGAGGCGGTTAGCCCATTTTTTAGTTAATTCATGGTTGGTCCATGGGGATTTTAATGAGATTCTATTCTCTCATGAAAAGTTCGGGATACACACAAGGCAAAGAGCTTAGATTGATGGTTTTTGGAGGCGATGGAAGAATGCTCTTTGGTGGATTTGGGTTTCTCTAGGGCCAAGTTTATGTGGTGCAATAATCTACCTTCGGGATTAATTAAGGAGCTTCTTGATTGGGCTTTTACTATTGATGAATGGATGTAGCAGTTTCTAGATGCAAGGGTCTACTCTCTTTTATTCTTGGCTTTCGAATCACTTACCCATCTTGGTGGATGTTGAGGGGAAGAAGACGCGTGATTTATTGTTAGGAAGACAACCCAAAATTTATTGATTCGAATGTGGTTATGTGATGCTAGTTATGAATCAGTTGTGTAAGATTGTTGGGTGGATACAGAAGATTTTTTAATGGATACGCTTATTCAAAATGTGAAACAAACTAGTGATCGACTTTCGCACTAGAATCAAGACACTTTAATTTGATTCCTCTATAGTTGTTGCAATTCTGAATATCTCCTTTATTCTTATAGATTGGTACTAAAATACTTTTCCTCCACTCATTTGGCATGTTCCTAGTCAACAAAATTTTGCTAAATAATCTAATCAACTAACCAACTCCCTTTTTACCCAAACATTTTCAAGCTTCAATAAGGATATCATCGAGTCTTAAAGCCTTATTTGATTTAATCTTCTTAAGTGCAATCTCCACTTCAAACTTGCTAATCCTGTGATAGAACTTATAGTCTTGGTTTATCGTATTACTGATTATTTCTTCCCCTATTGTCATACTTCCATGTTCCTCATTTAATAGTTTCTCAAAATAGCTTTTTCATCTTTCCTTAATCTCTTCTTCCTTAATCTCTTCATCCTTCACTAACACCTTAGAATCCTCACTTTTGATGTACTGAACTTGATTAAAATCTCTTGTTTTTCCCTCTCCTATCTTAGCAAGTTTTTATACCCTCTTTTCTCCCTCCTTACTATCTAGTCTGGTGTATAAGTCATCATAAGCTTTCAACTTAGCCTCTTTCACTACTTTTTTAACCTCCTTATTAGTCAATCTATAGCTCTTAAGGTTTTCCGCAGTTCTATCCTTCTGCCACTTTTTAAAGTACTCTTTTTTTGCTTTAACTACCGCTTGAACCTCTTCCCTTCACCACCAAGTTTCCCGAGAGCTGGGTCCCGTCCCTTTCGATTCTCCAAGCACTTCCTTTGAGATTCTCCTAATACAATTGGCCATCGAGTTCCATATAGTGTTAGTATCATCTTAGTATCATCTTCCAAGTCCCAAGTACCTTCCTTATCCATTCTATTCTTAAATATTTTTAATTTACCCCTTTTAGGTCTCACATTCTCGTCCTACGATGCCCACCATCCTTCCTAGCTTGGTATTGCCCTCTAAATCATAAATCTAGTACCAAAATCCTATGTTGAGAGGCCAGGCTCTCTTCAGGAATTACCTTACAATCATTGTATTTTAGGCGGTCTACTTTTCTCACTAAGAAGTAATCTATTTGGCTTTAATTGACCCACTCTTGAAGGTTATCAAATGCTCCTCCATCTTTTTATACATAGTATTGGCCGCCACCAGGTCAGATGCTAGTGCAAAATCTAAGATACTCTCTTCAACCTCATTTCTGTCACCAAAACTGTATCTACCATACACCCTTTCATAGCCTAGTTTATCTATTCCTACATGGCTATTAAAATCTCCATCTATAACCAGGTTCTCTCTTATGGGTATCTCCTGTAAAATCTCATCCATTTGCTCCCAAAAATCCCACTTAGTCTGATCATTTAATCTTACTTAAGGGGCGTATGCACTAATAATGTTCACTGTATTCCCTCCAATAACTAGTTTAACTAACATAATCCTATCTCCTTTTCTAATGATCGCCACTACATTCTCCATAAAACCCTTGGCAATTATAATTTCTAACCTATTCCTGCATCTATCCTTACCACTATAATACACTTAAAATCGGTATCCTCAATTTTCCTAGCTTTCTCACCTGTCCATTTAGTTTCACGTTCACAGCTATACTAACTCTCCTCCTAATCATAACAACTACCAATTCCATCGTTTTACCAGCTAAGGTTCCTATATTCCAAGTGGCTACCCTAAACTTGTAGTCTTAGACTAGCTTTTTTACCTGCGCTCATTTAGAAAAACGCAAGAACCTTTGCCCATTTTTCATCGCATAATCGTCCATAATATTGGCTTGAAACCCATTTCAACTTTCTCTCTCTCTCTCTCTCTCTCTCTCTCTCTCTCCCATCACCACCGCCATAACCCCTTTGGAACAATTGTAGACGACCAAATCCCACTCTCCAGAATCTTCTTCACCCTCGCTTTCTCATCGCACATTCCCTTACTCCCATCTCCATCCACATCCCTATCTCTATCTCCCTTCCAGTTTCTCTTTCATCCTCCTCGCTTTTGCTCTCTCTCTCTCTCTCTCTCTCTAAATGGATCATCCCCTTCCACAACCCTCTTTTCATCTCTTCTCTTCCATGGATGCTCTCTCAGTCCACTCCTCTCTACGTTCAATACGATCTCGTTCTACTCTCGAGAGTCCAGACCTTGAATTTGCTTCAAAGACTGAGTTTTTCTATTAATTTAGCACTTTGGATTGTTTTCTTTTTGATTTTTCATTGCAGACGGCCAGCTCAAACGTCGACGATCGAGCCGATGATCTCAGATCTATGATCGTCGGTTGAAGTTTCTGCTGAGGACATATTGATCTTGCAATAACAACATCGAAATATCCCAGGCTGCGTCTGCGGCATCCTCATCGCCCCGCTCACCCATTACACGATCAACATCCAAATACATAATAAAAATTAATTTCGTAAAAAAAAAAAAATAAATGTGTAAAAGATTTATCAATTTTACATAATTTTATCTTTGGTGGGTAGAAATAATTTTCAAAAATTTAAAAATATTTTGTTGACATTTATTTTTGTCAAATTATTTTATATTTTATTAAATTGATGACTTTACCCTTGAAATTGAGCAATAATATATTCAATCGTCCTTATTTGAAACAAGATTCAAAATTTATGGTCAAATGTGTCACAATTAAAAAGTCATGAATCAAAATGAAACAAGCCTTAAACTATGGGACGTTTAGTATAATTTGTCCTTTTGTCTTTCTATTTTCCCTTTTTTTTTTCCTTCTAATAATGGAAGTTTTGACAATTATACAAAAATTGCATAACATGAGTAAAATATGTTGTTATTTTAAAAGTACGAATGTGTAATTTAAAATTTATATATATATATATATATATATATAAACTAATCAAACACCTTAACAATGCCTCAAAACGCATAAGAGAAGGAAAAATCTAATCCAATCTTTTATGAAAATTAAAATCAAGGACCTAAATTACCAATAATCGAAGTCAACATGACATCATGAATTAATGAAAAGTTGTGGAACCTAACCTTTTATGAGATCATCCCATGTGACTTACCTCCCTCTCCCCACTCCCCAAAATAATAATTAATAATAAGAAAGAAGAAAAAGAGATATTGGCCTTGTTTGGTGTAGTTATGGGAAAATAATTATAGATTATGGCTTAATAGATTATAAATTATAGCTTTGAACATAAGTTGTTAATCTATTCGGTGCAGTTATGAGATTATAGATTTAATCAACAAAGTAATATTTGGTTAAATAAGCTGTAAAATAGTTTTTTACTGTGTAATGTCCTTTTTGTCTTTATAAGTTATAAAATTTGTGATTTTATTTACAATACTTTTTTTTTCTTCATTTTATTTTATTTTCTTTTCTTTTTCTCCTTTTTTTTTCGCTTCTTTCTTTTTTCTTTTCTCTTTTGTCATTTTTTTTCCTTCTCTTCTTTTCTCTTCTCTTCTTTCTTTGTTAATTTTGTTTAATTTATTAATTCATTATAATTAATATCAATTAATATTCATGTATTTGTATTAATGTTGTGATTTTATTAATATCAATTAGCAACAATTGTTAATTTTTCATTTTCTTCAATTTTAATTTAAAAAAAATTGTGATTCTTTTTTATTAATTTTTTTCATTAGAATACCCATTAATAATATAAAAATTGTTATTTTTTTAATTTATTAATTCATTACAAAATATACCAATTTTATTAATTTATTAATTTTTTTTTTAACAAACCCTAGCTACCATCGCTGGTGGCTGGGGTTTCATATCGCAGATTGCGATCGCGATGGCGACAACCAACGCGATGGCGGTAGGATGAGGATCACTCTGGTTTGAGATCGCAGATGTGATGGTGAGCTCTGGTTCATCACCGTCAGGCTATCTCGCAATGTCGGCGAGAGCACGGAAGGTCGATCATCACGCTGTTCCTGGCGGTGGTTAGGGTTAGGGTTGTCGATCTTGATGCTAGGGCTTTTTCCCTATGGGTCGTGAGAGAAAGAGAGAAAAATAGAGAGAGAGAGAGAGAGAGAGAGAGAGAGAGAGAACAGCTTGAAATCCTAGTTAGAAATCGCAGACACGGTACAACGCCGGAGAGAAAGAGAGCGCTCTAGTTCACCGAAAAATGAAGCTTTTGTTCACCATCAATCGCGATGGAGGATGGAGGATGGAGGGACGGCGACGAACAGAGAGAGGAGAGGGTTTCTTGATCAGAATAGAGAGAGGGGAGCCTCACCGGAAATCGCCGATCACGCGCCGAAAATCGCCTCCCGTCTCTCTCTTTCTTTGAGTCTCAGTGAACAGTAAATAGAAGATTAGGGTTAAATATATATATATAGTGGTATAAGAGTAAATACCTTCAAATACTAAGGATATTTAAGTAATTTCGAAGCCCCCCATCCTCGCATAATCCACTTGCGGAAGCGGCTGAGAGCTGCTTTTGATTTTTAAGCAAATTTGCCTTCAAAAAAAAGCTATAGAAGTTGAAGTTGCTGCCTTTTAAACTCAACCAAACAGTCTCTAATAACTTTTAAAAAACCAAAAGCTATAATCTGCTCAAAATAAACTAGACCAAACAGGTCCAATATGCAATATTTTATGTTATGTTTGTTAGTTTACTTTTTGAAAATTTAATTTATTACTGACTTAACATATTATCAAAGTTATAACTCTAAGAATTGGTTCAAGTCTTTTTGTTGTGTACTATATTTAGCTTACATGTATAGTTTAGTCTACTCACATAAAAAAAAGGATATGATGGATTAAAGGAGAAAATTATAAAGTCAATATGCATTATTAAATCCATTTAAAAATTTTAAGTTATTAGAATATTTATTAATTTACATACTACTCGAGTCATAATTCCAATAATTGGTTCAAGTCTTGTTATTTTGCATTCTATTTTTGTTTTTTAATGGTAAACATATTACAAAGAAAACAACTAGCAAACAACATCAAAAGCAGCAACATCAATCAAGGATTGTTGGACCTTCACCATCCACACTTGTTGGTGGTTCAAACCTTTAGTCATTCTTGCTAAGCCATGTGCCAACATATTGCAATTTCTACCAATGTGGATTGCTTGAAAGCTCCATAAAGATTTACTAGCACCCACTGCTTGGGACAAAAAATGGCCATATGCAGATAAGAAAGAAATTATCTTCCTCATGCAAAACTTTTGCAATCTTTAAAGAGTCCCCTTCTAAGAGAATATCAATAAAGCCCAAGTCCTTTGCCAATCCAATTGCCTTAGTAGCTGCAAATGCTTCCACACAATCGACCTCCACCTAGAACAGAAGTTGCTCCGACATAGCAGCCATAACTTCACCCATATAATTGCGGATAACCACACCAACCTCAACAAATTGCAGTTTTCGGAACCTCGCCTTGTCAAAATTAATCTTGAACCACCCTTCCTCCAGAGCACACCAACGAATGTCACTTACCCTCTACAGTGTACCCTGAATTCTTTGATGCACTTGAGTAAAATCATTAACCAAACCACACACCGTATTCATCATGGCCTTTACAGTAGAATAGTTTTCGCAGAAGATAATATTACCTGATTACGCTGCATCTAAATGCCCAACAGAAGGCAATAAACAAACCCATGCTAGAATCATCCGCAAGAGTCATGACCTGCCAAAACCACTCCTTGAAATCCTGATTATGGGCCCAGTGCATGAGATTTCACAATTGAGTTAGCTTCCACAACTGAGCTGCCGCATCACAATAGCAGAGGCAATGCATCAATGTTTCCTTATGCACACAACCCGAACATGTATCATCAATTTGAATTCTTTGATTCCACAATAGAGACTTCACTAGCAATATGTTATTACGCTTTCCATGCGAACACCTTGATTTTATTCGGAAGTTTAAAATCACTTGGCAAATTCAACAGTGATTACTTGAAATGAATTCGGCCTCGGTATTGATTTATCTCCAACAATCTAAACATTCTCACCACACCCAACCCTCCAACGAATACTCGCAGCCAAGAGAGATTGTGCATGAATAATGCTACGCCAAGTATAGGAAGGATTTGTGCCAATTTCTCCTTCCAAAAAAGAAGTATGTGGAAAATATTTAGCCTTCAAAATGCAACCCGGTGGGGAATCGGGATGCTTGAGAAGTTTCCATCCTTGCTTAGCTAGCATTGCAACATTAAAATCTTTCAAACACTTGAAGCCCATACCGCCAGCCTGCTTTTGCAAGCACAAAAAATCCCATTTTTTTCTATTGAATCTTCTACTTATCCTCCCCTTTGACCCCACCAATATCTACTAACATGGCCAAATTTACATCTCTGGACATGTGATCCTTGATGAATCTTCTTGTTCTTTTCAATCTTCCTCTCATTCTTTTTCCTTAGTGCCGCATTTACTTGATTTCTTTTGGCCTGCTTCTTAAGCTGGCAGTTCTTCTTCTTCTCCTATCTCTTTTTCTAAGCACTAACTTACTACATCTGCAGCACATCAACCTTGTACTTCTGGAGCACATCAATCACCATCTTCTTCAACCACATCACACTCTCCTCCCTCTACACAAGCTCAAGATCAACACCCTATCTCTTCGGCCTCACAACCTACTATCCCTGCAGTCCCACAATCTTCTCAGATTCTTGTTTCCTACATTTTCATTGATTTTCCATGCATTCCAACTAATGGTCATCCTATGCTTACCAGATCAAAGACCAGAAGTCCTACCTATCTCACTGTTTCTACTGATAATTTTAAACCCGAAACCTATAAAGAGGTTGTTTCTTCTCCTGCTTGGCAAGCTGCTATGCTTAATGAATATGAGGCTTTTCAAAGACAAGGCACTTGGTCATTGATGCCTCTCCTACCTAGCAAACAAGTTATTGGTTACAAATGGGTTTACAGGTTAGAGAAAAATTCAGATGGCCCTATAGCTAAGCATAAGGCTAGATTTATAGCCAAGGGTTTTCTTCAAACTGAAGGTATTGACTACCATGAAACTTTTAGCCCTGTAGCAAAACAACCAACTATCAGGGTTCTCTTGTGTCTTGTTTTTCATTTTGATTGGTTAATCAAGCAACTTGACATTTCTTATGCTTTCTTACATGGTGTTCTCGAAGAGGAAGTGTACATGATTCACCCATAGGGTTTAGTTCATCCAACAAAGTCATCTCTTGTATGCAAGTTAAATAAAGCTCTTTATGGTCTAAAGCAAGCTGCTACAGCTTGATTTTCTACTTTTCCTCTTTTATTCTCACTCAAAACTTTGTTGCTAGTCACTGTGACTCTTCTTTGTTTGTCAAAAAGACTCCTACTTCTATCACTATTCTCCTTATTTATGTAGATGACGTTCTTCTCACAGGTAGTGATCCTCTTTACATTGATTCTCTTATCCAACAAATGCATGCTACTTTTTCCATGAAAGAGCTTGGTTTTGTTAATTACTTCTTAGGAATTTCTGTTACCAAGTCCTCCCCAGGCTACGTCCTTTCTCAACACAACTATGCTTATGATATTTTGGCCAAGGTAGGTATGAGTGACTGTAAGCCATATTCCTTACCTATGGCTAGGGGTTCCATCTTTTCTTCTTCTTCTCGTGATGACTTACCATTTTCTTAACCATCTTTGTATAGAAGTTTAGTATGTGCTCTTCAGTATCTTACTATCACTAGGCCAGATCTAGCCTTTGCAATGAATCATGCTTGTCAATATATGCAAACACCCTTAAATAGTCATTTTGCTGGGGTTAAAAGGTTGCTTAGGTATCTGAAAGGGACTTTGGCTTATGGTCTTCCTTTCACTAGTGGTCCTCTCATTCTTAATGCATACTCAAACTCTAATTGAGCTGGCAGGGTCCTTGATAGGAGATCCACCACTAGCCATTGTGTTTATCTTGATTCCAACTTAATCTCTTAAATTGCTAAGAAACAACCCACTGTTTCTAGATAATCCTCAGAGGCAAAGTACATGGCCTTAGCTCAAGCTGCAGTAGAACTTAGTTAGCTTGGAATGTTGTTAGCAGAGTTTCATATTCCTGTGCCTGTTCCTACTTTTTGGTGTGACAACCTATCTGCTATTACTATGGCCAATAATCATGTTTTCCATGCTCACACCAAGCATATTGAAGTTGACTATCACTTTGTTAGAGAAAGGGTTGTAGCAAAGAAGCTCCATATTTCTCAGGTTCCCACTACTGATCAAATTGCAAACATTTTTACTAAACCTTTGTCCGTGGCTTGTTTTTAGTATCTTCAAAGCAAACTCTTAGTCCTTTTTAGTCCTATGAGTTTGAGGAGGAATAGTAAGCCAGATCATCCTAAGTATGCTCCTGAAGAGTCTAAGCCTCCTGCACAAGCTACGCAAGAGTTGCACCCTACTGCACATGAGCTGCAGTCTACACTGCAGCATCAGGTAATACCACAAGCTCTAGACAAACCGCAGCTCAAGCTGCAGCACTAGTGTTTAGTCTTTCAACATTTCCAACATATGTATAATCGAGTGGTTAGTTTGTTAGAAGTTAACTATAGTTAGTTAGGTAGTTATGGTTAGGTTAAGATACATGTTATATTTGTATATGATGAATCATCATCTCTGTAAATTCATTCATTGAGAAAATACAATCAACAATTCCAATTCTCTTTAATATCCTATGTAACACAAGGTTTAATTGAAGCCAAAACCGTAACAATACCTAGTGGGTTATTTGTTGAAAATAAGTCTTGAAAATAGCCCACTGCTATACGCTCCAACTAATGAAAGTGTGGGAGAGGGTGATGAAACACCGATTGTGAAATATAACAAAGGTGTCAGAGAATCAATTTGGGTTTATACCTGGCAGGTCAACAATGGAGGCGATTTATCTTTTAAGGAGAGTAATAGAAAAGTATAGAGAAAAGAAAAAGGCATTCATATGGTGTTTATCAACCTTAAGAAAGCATATGATAAAATGTCCCGAGATATAATATGGTGTGTGTTAGAGAAGAAAGGGGTGACAAAAGGTTATATTGGTGTGATTAGGAACATGCATGAAGGAGTGGTGACCACTATTAAATCGCCTACTGGAGAGACAAATGAATTTCCTATCACTGTAGGATTACACCAAGGATCTGCCTTAAGTCCTTATCTTTTTGCTTTAGTTATGGATGAGTTGACAAGAAATATTCAGGATGACGTGCCATGGTGTATACTTTTGCAGACGATATTGTGCTAGTAGATGAGACTAAATGAGTTAACACAAAGTTGGAGATTTGGACAAAAATTCTTGAATCTAAAGGATTCCAGATAAGCAGAATTAAGACAGAGTACATAGAGTGTAACTTTAGTAATAGTAATAATGAAAGCAGATGAGAAGTGAAGATTGAGAACCAAAAACTGCCTAAGAGTGAACATTTTCGTTATTTAGGGTCAATTATCACAACAGTGAGGGAGATTGATGCAGATGTGGCTCATAGGATTAAAACGGGATGGTGTAAGTGGAGAAGTACATCTGGGGTACTGTGCGATAAACGAATACCTAATAGACTAAAATGTAAGTTTTATAGAACGGCTATTAAACCAACGATGTTGTATGGAACAGAGTATTTGGCAACCAAGAAACAACATGTAGATAAAATGAGTGTGGCTGAGATGAGGATGCTAAGGTGGATGTGTGGCAAGACTAGACAAGACAGAATTAGAAATGAGTGTATTCGGGAATGAGTAGGAGTAGCACCGATAGAAGATAAGTTGGGAGAGAATCGATTGAGATGGTTTGGTCACATTCAACGGAGACCAACATAGGCAGTAGTGAAGAGATACGATGCGATGCGATACTGTAACGGTGGATGAGAGTGTTAGGGGACGATGTAAGCCTAGATTAACGTTGGCTAGCTTTGTAAATAGAGATATGGATCTACTTAATTTGACTAACGCAATGGCCTTTTATAGAATCGCGTGGAGAAGAAGGATTCATGTAACCAACCCCATTTGATGGGACTTAAGGTTTGGTTTGGTTTGTTTTACCCATTCATATATATAGATAAATAGATTGATAGTTTGGTCATTTTATACAATCATGTTTGGGATGTTTTGGGAAGATGGTTAAAAGTTGATTTTTTGATTTTTTTTTAAATGTGTAAAAAAATGTAAGAGATGATATGACTCAAAATAAGTTAAAAGCTGAGAAGTAACTTTTAACGCATTTCCCAAAAAAGGCTAGACTTTTAGACAATAAGAATTCAAATTTAAATTTATGAACCAAGCGTCATTTATATATTAAAAATATAAACCAAAATATACAAAGTAAAAAGTGAGGAATGAGGAGGACCACCCTAAAAATAGATGTGGAACTAAGACAATTTTAGTTAGCTTTTTAGTTTTTTAATTATTTTAGAATAAATTATAAATATATCTCTTAAGATTTGATTAAAATACGAATCGTTTCTTATAGTTCTAGAAATTATATTTCACTCCCTAGAGTTTCTAATTTCATAACAAATTGCTCATTTTATTAATAAATCATCAAGTCAATTAATAGTTTTTAATGATGTTAGAAATACATTTCAATTAATAATTTAAGTAATTTTATTATTGTATAGGAGAGCAATTATGAATTTCACTTTTTTACTTAATTCTGTTAAATAAAAAATTCTGACAAAAGAATATTTGTAATTTTCCAAATCACAGGAGCAATCTGTACTTTAAACAAACATCAATGAGTGTATTTGTAATTTACCCTTTACTTTTTTATGAAATGAAACAAAATTATATTTTGGATGATTTGTGAATTTTTTTGTACTTGATTAGTTGGTTATAAGAGAAAAAGTTATTTATTGATGTGTAAAATATAATATTTTGTCTTATTAACTATTCTATTTTATTTTGTTGACTATTTTAGCCGAAAAAAGGCTTCCCAAACAAGGCATAAGTACTCCCAGTTCTGTACGACTAAAATGACTAGAATATAACCAAAAGGGCTAGTTATGACTTTTATTATATTTGATAATAATATAGTGTTGTGTTAGTTATAATTTATTGTGAAATTATAATTTAAGAGTTCTTTAATTATATTTTATGTGGTATTTTGTTATAATTCTTTTTTTATTTTTTTTATTTTAATTATGACTTTTATAAGACTAAATTATAACATTTATGGTAATCAAATCTACAAATATTATGACTTACGCGTAACATTTCTCGAATTGAAATCGTCTATTGTAAAGTATCTTTAAATCACACATTTATATTTTTTAATAATATTCTTATTACAAATTTTGGGTGTAATTTTTCTGGATAGACATTGACATTGCATGTAATATTTTTTTGCAGAAAAGGGGCTGATGTGAAAGGGTATTTTATATGGTCAGTCATGGATGATTTTGAGTGGGCACTTGGTTATACGGCTCGTTTTGGGATCACTTTTGTGGACTACGAGCATGATTTGAGAAGATACCCCAAAGACTCTGCTATTTGGTTCAATAAGTTCCTCCAAGGCAAATATTTAATCTCTAGGTCCTCTGCATTTGGGTTAATTGAAAGAGAGTATTTTTCATAACTAGCACATATGCTTCTTTTGTATGAGTTACTCTTTGAAATATCATATCATTATATCTCTACATGCATAATTATTAGATCTTTTATTTATTTGTTCGTTTGTTTGTCTTCATTTTCAAAATAATGCCTGTTTTATTTCATTATTTCTTCTTTATTTATTTATTTTTGTATTTTTCTTGAAATTATAATAAAAAGGTAAATTAAAAAAATATCCCTGAAGCTTGTCAAAAATATGAATTCCCTCCTCACATTTTGAAAATTACAAATATCTCATTAAAATTTTCTGCAATTGACCTAACAACAACAACAACAACAACAACAAAAATAAAAAGTAAATTATGCAAATAACCTATAATACCAAAATAAAATTATCATATTACTCTCATTTTCATCCACCAACCACCAAATCCATCTGTTTACACCACTAGAATATTCTCCAACCCTTATCGTCGACATACAAAATGCTGGTAAACACTTTTGACTATGGTGTTGATCGAACATAGAAAATGATTTGTTTTACTATTTGAGAGAAAATAGGGGATAAAGAAGATGAGACAAGAAAAAAAGAAAAAGAAAAAAAAAATGTATAATAACTTCATAAAGGTTAATATAAGTGTAGGTAGGGCTGTTCACAAACCCGTAAGATCTGAATAAACCGACCTGGCCGACTCGAACCGATGAGTCACGGTCGATTTCGAATGCCGCACGGTCGGTCACCGGTTTCAAAAAGCTAAATTTTTTAATATATCGGTCGGTGTTCGATCTCCCAAGGAAAAATATTCACTGCACCCGAACCGTCCAAATTTATAACGTGAAGTATACGTGGTGTTTTAGGATTAGAAGTAAAAAATACATTTTATCTTTAGAGACTTATCCCCTTGTCTATTTAAACTCTCCAAATACACTTGGCAGCATATGATAGGTTATCAAAAGAACACACACTATCTTTGACTATACCTAATCAATTCAACTATGTTCTCTCTCATAGTCCCAATGAGTCATTATGACTTTTATTTTTGGAAAATGTTTGATGGCCCGAATTTATGTGGCTCAAATGGCTCGAATATGCCAAAACGACGTCGTTTTACACCCCAAACGACGTCATTTTGGGTGTTTCGAGCCATTTGAGCCACATTTTTTCGGGTCACCTAACATTGTTGTTTATTTTTACAGAGATCTATATCTATTACTGATCAAACTCTCTCTCTCTCTCTCTCTCTCTCTCTCTCTCTCTCTTTCTCATGTCTCTTTGCTTTCTTATTAACAAAGATGTGGCGTGCTCTCTTTCTCTCAGATTGATGAGACGTCTTCCTGATCTCTTGCATCAACTGGCTCGATCTGAACATTAATCATCTCCAGTAGTGGTTTCTTGATCTTCTCTCGGCAGTGGCCCTCATCTCGTCTTTTTTCATTTCTAATCTCTCTCGATTCTCTTTTCCTAAAATCATTCTTTTCCTCATCCCACTCAAATTTGTTTGGTGGAGGTATGTTGTTGAAGAGAAGATCTGTTATAGTTTCAACCGAAACTCGACCGCTACATCTCTGACTCGAAGTGGATGATTTCAAGCAGTTGGTCGGACGGAATCGGATGTTGGATTCTCCCATCCGAAGTGGTTGGTTTGAGTAGTGGATGCATATGAAATCCGAACCAGTCCAACCCGTGAACAGCCCTAGGTGTAGGAATTTCACTAATAATACAAAGCGAAAATAAACGGATTCGGGCATACATTTTATGCTCAAACCGAATCCATGAACCATGTGAGTGAATCACGTGCCTTCATGATGAACTTGAACAATTCCCAGCAGTGGAGTAGAACTACTAGAGGGCTACCTATACTATTTACAGTACAAAAGCTTCGTTCTGTGTTTCTATAGAGAGAAAAAATGAGAGGGAGATAGAGAGAGAGAGAGAGAGAGAGGGAGAGTAGGAGAGAGAGACTAGTAGACTCCCATGCAGTTAAATCAGTCTCACCCATATAATACATACATTATAATGGGGGTGTTATATAATAACCACGCACAACTCTATCTTCTTAAGAAATGAGATAGTGGGGTTATACTCTTATCTCTAGGTCAAGTAGTTTCACTCCTAATTGGATCTCTCAATGATTCATGCGGCATGCCACCAAGGGCGACCCAATCGGGTATGGGTTCTAAACCTGACCCAATTTCCAACATCTCTTTCTTATACATGCATTGGTGTAGACACCTCATTTTGATTGACCCTAAGAGTTCGGGCGCTTGCAGAGTCTCTTGATGATAAAATGGTATTTACATCATCTTTAGAATACTTAAGGATGTTTGGAATTTCTATGTAAACCTGTTTTGGTAACAAATTAACTTTTTACAAAAATGACCATTTTGCCCCTGAATCCGTTTTTAGCCAAAAAATTAACTTTTTAACATCAAAAAAGAGAGATAAGCCTCATTCTACTTTGATCAAACCTATTTTCCAAAATTAGTAACCTGTTTTTATCAAAAACATTGATCAAAAGACAATTCGGACTTACTTGGGCTACAAGCCAGCCAACAGCATGGAATGTATGCAGGGATGACACGTGTACTATGGCAAAGGGTGCGTACGCACCTTATCTGTGTGTGTGCACAATCGTTGCACGTGCACACGAGAATGGTGTATGCGCACATCCGAGCATGACAGAGTTATTTTTTAAAACTCAATTTTAGTGCATGTTTGGTGGGAGGCAAAGCGAACAAGCGATGGAACGCTAGAAAAGACTCCAAAACCTTCTCCTCCTCCAATAAAAAGAGCTCCTCCCCTTCTTCTTCAAGGGGTTAATACTTTGAGGCATTTTGAGAGCACTTAAGAGCCAAACACCACTTTTTCTTCTCCTCTTTGCCTTAGCCATGAAATTCCCTCACCCACAGCAACTCTAAGCTTCTACAAATTATCCTAAGGCCTGAAGAACTTGAGCTAAGTCATAACCAAAACTTGAGGGAGACTTGCAAGAATTGAAAGAATTTAAACAATTTATTGAAACATTTAAGGTTATTTTTTTTCTTCCTTTTTTTTCTCATTTGGGTGGTATTTGCAGCAATAAGGAGTTGTTGATTTCTAGTTTTTTTATTTTTATGTTATGTTGTTGTTATCAAAACACACTATGATTGGTTTATCTATTTATGCAGGTTTTGTTTATTTCATTATGTGTTTCAACCTATTTTTAATGGATGTTTTTCTTTTGCTTCAATGGTTTTTTTGTTCACAAAAAATGTCGATTGGTTTCGTAATTTTTTTGCACAACAAAAATCAATTTCCACCAAGTTAATTTATTTCATAATGCAACATCTGTATTTGACTTTTGGTCTGATAATGTTTCTAAAAAAAATACCAATTTTTTTTACATATAGCAAGATTAAAATTTTGTCTTGGTCCTTATTTTTTTTCCAAATACTTTTGTCTTGTAATAATTTTTTTTTTCAAGGGTGTGAATTATTTCATTTGGCCATTGAAAACACATAATTGAAGGTATTTTTTGGATTGTGAGTTGTACTTTTCATTTGGTTCTCAAAAAAATGTTTGGCAAAGAAACAATTTTTCTCTTGTTTTACATAAAAATCGGTATATTTTTTAGTTATTGCTTTCGTCATTTTTTTTTTGTCTTTTCACAAAGATAAACCCAAAAAATGCTTACATAAAAATTTTGGTTATTACCCAACAGATTTGTTTGCTATGGTTATATATATATATATATATTTTTTTTTAAATAAATGTTTTTATGTTTCAAGTTGTGGAAAGTACGAAACATCAAGAAACAATTACAATATTTGTTACAGTACTTCACAAATTTATGAGTTGCACAAGTGTCCTTATTGTTTGTGATTGTTGTCCTCAATCATTCCATTATAGCTTCTCATAGGTAAAATCAATAACGAGGTCAGTCCTATTAATTTCGGTGGTAAGCAATCACTACGAGACACAATTGATGAAATTGTTGTCGACATGATAGAGGAAATTGATTCGAGCTTGTTGGCAGAGTGCAACAGTGTAGCAACATATTATTACAACAATTTCCACAAAGTACCATGAAATACCTCTATACTAACAAGACGGTTATAGATTTATGAGTTGTTTTAGGGCAATCATAGGCATTGTGAAGATGTGATAGGTATGCTGAAGAACGTTTTTTATTGTTGTGCCAAGTTCTTGTCGACTTTGGCCTACTAGTACCTAAATGGGAGTACGATTTAGAGGTCAAAGAGAAAGTGGCTATTTTCATAAATATTTTGCAGGGTCTTGCCTAGAAGACATTAACAGAATAGTTTTCGCACTTCGAGGAGACGTTGTCAAGAAATTTCCATGAAGTGTTGCAGGCAATGATACCCTTCATCGACGTTCATAGTAGAAGTTTAGACCCAACGACTATGGAATAGCGTTGGTACCCACATCTACAGTCATAAGCACAATACTTGCCTTTCCGATGCAATCAATAAATTTTCTTTAACACGTGCATTACAATAAATTACATTTCTGCAACAATGTGTAATGTAACTCCGTACTACCACACACACCTAAAATAGGAATGCAATGATGCTTTGGACGACACGCATGTATTGGCCCAAATCAAATAGTCAAACGCAAGGTCGTATTATGGCCTCAAAGCAATTCCCACACAAAATATTATTGCGGTGTATGACTTTGATTTATGTTTCACTTGTGTTCTCTATGGCTGGGATGGGAGCATGCACGACAGTAAAGTTTTGCATTACGTTACAAGTAATGACTTGCATCGATTCTCGCATCCTAAACCAAGTAAAAGTTGATTGTTAACAAAATGGTATGCAATAATTATTTACATATATAACCTAGTTTTGTAAATTTCTTTCTTTATATAAATGTTGCGTGATTTATGATAATTTTTATGTGCAATGATGAGTATGCCCTATTAAAGCGTTCATAGTTATCCCGTGGTCATCGATTGTGATATGCCGGTTGGTGATATCGGTAGCCCTTGAATGGTGCCAAGAACCCTTTCTTATTAGAAATTGGGCACCCATGTGGCATGACCCTTTGAACCTTTTGAACCTTATCCATATAAGTTTGAATTTAAATTCAAAACTTGTTTGGATAACCA